AAAAGTTTCCCCCTTTGCTTCGGGGGGGGGGTGGGTCAAAGCCAGTTTCCCTAGTGTTTCACAAATTAGCTAATTAGTCTCATGCAGGAGTGAAATTAAGCAGCAGAAATGTGAAATCTGTCTTAAAAGAGGCAAACGCAGCTATTCATCTTTACCCATTTACCTGGAGTTGGGGAAGTCTTGAAGGTCACCGAAGAGTGAGCGGATGCCCAGACATGTCTGCTGAGACCCGGAGCAGAGGCGATCTCTGGGCTGCCGCACATGCCGTGGGACATGGACTTCGGAGGCACAAAGGAGGGCGTGACCAAGGTGGAAGTGGTGACTTCAGCTGAACATACGGCTGCACCCTGTCCCCTGCCACCCACGTCCACCATGCAGGGACTCCCTTTGGCACTTAGCTCTCTCCCACATCAACCCAAATGCGATGTTTCCCCTACTGCCAAGCCCTGCTTCCTCCATCATTCAAGATTCATCCTATCGTCCCTTGCTCAAAATAAATGAGGCATGGACAGATACCTGAAGACTGCATAGGACTGGACCCACAGACAGTCCGAGAAAGCAGGGTGAAATACACACCTGCAAGAGCAGCTTCTGGAAGCCACAGGCCTGACTCGGGCTATGGTGGAGGCCGGCTCAACTGGGTTCCCTGACTCCTCGACAGGGACACGCGTGACCTGGGCTAGCTCGCATAGTTGAGGCTTGAAGAAACCAGGATGAAGTTTTGGAATCACAGTCCCTGGAGGCACGTAGCCAATATAATCCACACTTCTCTCTAAAGCACCAGCCATAGAAGATCTGAAGGAGATTTTCAGGAACAGTGTCCAGATTCCATTATGCCACTTAAAAAAAAATTTCCTTCCTGAGCGAGACAGTGACCCCTGACAGGGTCTTGTCACACCACAGCCTCTCCCCAGCCTTCTAGACAGCCAGGATCGCAGTTGTGCCTGGTATCTGAACCCAGGCCCTCCTGTATGCTCCTGTATTGCCCAGCGGCACCCTGCTGCCTACACTAGGGCTGGTCTACATTATGTCATTTTTAAATGATGACAGTTGAGACAAGGCAAAGGATCCATGAACTTACGCAACCAATATTGATTGCTTGTGATGTGCTAGTCATTGTTACGGGAAATGGAAACCCATTTTGCCAACAAATTAGATAAAACTGCCCTTGGGAAGCTTCGATCCTGGATTGGGGAGATAGGTGGGAAACGTATCCAGCAGGCCGAGATGAGAGCTGTGGAGGAAAACACGAGGGAGGAGGCTGCTGGGGGTTGCCGGGGGAGGGGCACTGGTATTCTGGAGAGGGGGCTGAGGAAGCCACCCTGAGAAGGCGAGCTTGCAGCAGAGACCTGAACGAGTGAGGAGGGGGCCACGTGGATGTCAGGGGAAGAGCATGTTTCTGGCAGAGGGGACAGCAAGCACACAGGCCCAGAGGCAAGAGCTGGCTTGATGTGGCTGAACAAGGGCAGAGCATTCCAGAAAACACACAGATCAGTCACCCAGGTTCTCTGTAGGGCCAAGGTGGAAAGAGAGGCTTCCCACCGAGGCGATCGTGAGGAAGGGCACGCTGCAAGGTTGGCCTTCTACAGGTGCGTGCGACGGGACGACACGGACTCGGGCAGCTGGCATGCTCCAACAGCTTGCACTGCCTATGGCTGGGCCATGCCCTGGACGTCTGGACCAGTGTCTGGCCCTGGCCCTTGCCCCCTTCCCTCCTTCATCCTTCCCCTTGATTCTCCACCTAGCTCTGACCCCTAAAGAGGAGATGCCAGTTTTCTTTTCTTTTTTTTTTTTTAAGAGGTTTTTCTTATAGGGTGCATGTGCTCACTGGAAAGACAGAGAGAGACAGAGAGACAGAAAGCGAGAAATCACCCCCCAGGGAGATGGCCACGCCGCAATCCCTTCTCCTCCATTCTCCTCTCGGGATCTTGGGCACGCACGCACACATGCCCGGCGTAAGTGGTTAAGGCAATGGAAATGCCAGCTTTCTGGATAGAGAAGGATAAGGTAAGCTTTTGTTAAATTTAGTACAATTCTAGGGAGCATTTTTAGAGACCAGGCAATTCTGTTTTCTAGCTGCTCTGAGTACCTACGGCAGGCAGGGCCAGCCTCATCGCTTACTCTCTGCAGCTCAGTGGTTCTGCCCCCTTTCCCACTGTGCCCAGACATAAGTACACTGCAGATCAAAACAGAAAAGCCTTAGCAATACAGCACTGTCAGACATTTGAGTACCATCAGCCAAGAATGACGTGCGTTATTACTGACTTAATATTTTCCTTTAAATAGACTCTCTCTCTTTTTTTTTTTTTTTTTTTTTGATTTGTTTTGCTTTGCCATAGGGCACATGGACTTGCTGGAGATAGAGGGAAAGTGAGAAATCACCACCCTCCAGGGGTGAAGGCCATGCTGCAATCCCTTCTTCTCTCTTGGGATTTTGGGCACTCATGCACACACGTCCAGTGTGATTTCCAAGTCACGTATCCGGGACTCGAATTGTGGTTAACCCTGTGAGAGTCCGGCTCCTCAACCACCATGCCACCTGCTGGCCCTAGACTCATTTTTAAAACTTCTTACTTTTCCTAAGTGACAATATCCCCTGATAGTCACAGTTTAGTACAGAGACAGAAAGCAAGAAATCATCCCCCAGGGGGATGGTCACGCCACAATCCCTTCTCCTCCATTCTCCTCTTGGGATCTTGGGCACGCATGAACGCACACGCACCCGGTGAGAGTTTTAAGCCACCAGGTCCGGGACGCAATCCGTGGTCAACTACGTGGGAGTCCAGCGAAATAGCCATTACGCCAACTGCTGGTTCCCTATTTTCTAAACCTTTTAAAATAAATACATATGCATATGGAAGATCAACCAAGCTCCACTGTTTTTTTTTTTTTTTCTTTCTTTCTTTAATCTTAGGAATTGCTAGCAGCCCTTTCATGTATTTTGGGCTTGTGAGCAGCCTCAGTAAGGGGTGGCAAAGTCTGACAATCACCTCAGACACAAAGATGTTCTTTGGATTTTGTATTACCAGCAAACAAAGGAAGTTTAGCTCTAGGCAGGAAAACAGTGTTTGAAAAAATAAAACCAGAGAATGCACTAAAGTTTAGTTACATCTGAAGCAAAGTGCGGTTTACGAATCATCACCCCAGTAACTGCCTGCGATGTCCATAATGATCAAAAGCAGGTTCCAGGGAACCAGCAGTTAGCGTAATGGCTATGTCGCTGGACTCCCACGTAGTCGACCGCGGTTCGTGTCCTGGACCCGGTGGCTTAAAAACTCACGCCGGGCGCGTGTGCGTGCGTGCCCAAGATCCTGAGAGGAGAATGGAGGAGAAGGGATTGCGGCGTGACCATCCCCCCTGGGGGGTGATTTCTCGCTTTCTGTCTCTATGTCTCTCTCTGTCTGTCTGGCGAGCGCACGCGCCCTACAGTGAAAATCTCTCAAAAAAAAAAAAAAAAAAAGCAGGTTCCGGACATGAAGGCTTATACTGTAGTTCTGGTGAAAGATTTAATGGCAAGGAAGTCTTCACCTTGCTATAAGACAACACAGAAGGAACAACGAAACCCGCCTCTTGTGATCGAGAAGGAAGCCAGGCCGGTCTTTGTTTCCTCGTTTTCTTAGCGTGTTTTATCGCTTAGCGAGCCACGGTTTTCATTAGCCTCTCCAGGTTGTAAACCCCATTTTCCAGAAAGCTGTATCCAAATAAACAAAATAATTTTTGGCTCTAGGTGGTTGGTTTTATTTGTTTCTCTGTAGTTTAAAACAAATTTCCTTGAACATGCGTAACGCCGCAGAGCAGTACATGTGAAAATGGTTATGATTCTAATTTTTGTTATGTGTATTTTGCCACAATTAGAAATTGTCTTTTTCAAGTAACACTCTCATTTTTAAAAGTTTTGTATTTCCCCTTCTCTAAAAAGAAATTTTTTAAAAATATTTTTTCTGTAAAAAATTTTTTGTTTAAACAAAAAAGATTCCTTCTCAACAACTTAGTCCAGTGTAATCACTGGGTGTTTGGGCACATGGTTCAAGGGCCAGCAATGACCTAGGAGTTGAGAGGCCTCAGAACGTTCACGGCCCTGTGGACCCGTCAGGTGCCGCCACGTGGTGTTTACACGGGGCCCAGGGAGCAGTGTTTACACACGGCCTCAGGAATGTAACCAAGTGCTATGTCTGAGGAAAGGGGTTAAAATTTTTTAAAGGTTACTTATTTTTTCCACGAGCAAGAGATGAGAGAGAGAGAACGTCCAGTAGGGTCTTAATGCCACAATCCACCCCCAGCACTGGCCAGCCCTGGGTCGTGAGCACACGTGTGCCCAGCAAACTCCTGGTGGCCTCTGGATGCGAACCCAGACCTCCCCCACAGGGGCCAGGCTCGCAGCGCAGCAGTTTACGCAGTGCCAGCTGGCCCTCAGCAAGGACTGTTTACTGAGCTCTGCAATGTGCTACACGCGTGCGGGCACTTCCCAGAAGTTATCTCGCCCTCAGCATAACGCTACGCCGTGTTTTGTTTTGTTTTGTTTTGTTTCTTTGCATTTTACTTACAGGGACTCAGCTTGGGGAGGTTCAGCAGTCGGCTCCGGAGTTACACCAGGCGGCTTCAGAAGTCTGTGAAAAAACAGAATTAAAGGATGAGTTTATTCTGGTGCAAAAAAACAAAAACACAAACAAAAACCCTTTGACTTGTGCGTAGTATTTTCATGATACGTTTTCCCCACAGCTAGGTGGCAGGAAAGCCAGCCTCCACTGGGGGCTGACTCCAAACCCAGCCTCTGCCCGCAAGGCCATGCCACCCTCCCTCGTGGGCCTGAAAGAGTTCATAGGAACAGCTGGGCTCGGTACCCTCCTTCTTGCCCGAGAACGGCTCCTTTGCTCACCAGTGTTTGTTTCTGGTTTTCTAAACAGAAGAAAGAAGCGATGAAGAAAAAACAAGAGGAAGAAATCAAACAGACTGAGGAAGAGAGAGCCAAGCAGATTTGTAAGAACTGGAAGGAAGATTCGGAGTGGCAAGCATCTCGTAAGTACCTGAGCCCTCCCCCTCACAGCTGATCTGAGCACTTAATAAAGAGATCGGTCCAGGAGGCACTTCATGTGGGTTGTCGAGAGAGCTCTTCAGTCTGAGAGATCACTCAGGTGCAATCACTGAGTTCTTACTCACGCTCACGAGCTACTTTGGAATAGCAGAGTGGTTCTCTGTTCACCTTTGTACAAAACGTTGATGCGTTCATATGATGGAAAACATGTTTTGCTAGAGTGTCTAATGACTTCGGATTATGTTTACATCTCTTCAGCATTGAGAAGAAAAGCACTGCAAAACAGTGTGAAAAACACTATGTTCAGTATCTTACGTCAATGGACGGTTGTTAACGTAACATTAATTTTCTTGGAGAGACGGATTCAAGACGATTGATCTAAGCTTTTCTTCTTGTTATTCAGTTTGAGGTTTGGGGTATTTTTCCCCCCTAATTTTCTAACAGTGAATCCCTTTTAACCTTGAAACCAGAAGAGCGTGGGAATAACAGGATGGGCATATGGGTGACTGTCCCCCAGTCCCCGCTGAGCTGGCACTGCCCTAACCCTCACAGGAGAAGAGTGAGCTGAGTGGAAGATGTTCGAGGGTGCTGTGAGAACTCAGGCGTGAGGAAGCAGCAGGGTTTCCATCCCACTCAGGAGACCACCAGGCCGCTAGGTGCCCCCGAGGCAGCCCAGGGAGCAGAGCAGGACAGGCAGTGTCTGCGGGATATCCTGAGAACCCCGAACTGGCCTGCAGTCCTAACCAGCTCATGCCATTGCCGTGACAGTGTTTCTGAAATGAAAATATTTCCGAGATCCAGCTGGTGGCTTTCTTATGCTATGCCATGCAGCCCAGTACAACGGGCTGTTTTTGCTCTCTCTTCAGTATCAAACATAACGGGATCTGACCAGTCGTGCCTGAAGTGGAAATAGATGCAGTAAAAATTATTCTTTCTTTTTAAAAGAAATATTTATTTCCATTTGTTATTATCAATTCTTTAATTTGACCAGAGAGACAGAGAGAAAGGGAAAGCGAGAAAGCAAGTCGCCAAGTCTGGGGTTCAAACCGTGGATAGCCATGTGGGAATCCAGCGCCTTTAACCCCCATGCCACCTGCTGGCTCCAGGAAAAATTATTCTTATACCCCACATTAGAGTCTTCAATATGGTGTTGTTAAAACTAAACAAAAATCCCTCTATTTCACAAGGAAATGGAACGGCAGCGTCAGGCGGGCCCGTGTGTTCTATGATCACAGGTTAAGCCTCCCGTTTTGGTTTTGGCTCATCACATCTGTTGTACCTCACAGTGGGCTTGAACTCTTACAGCCCCCACTTTGTCTACTGCCATGAGCCCCAGAGTGGTCCTCACTGCATCCGGAGTGTGCAAGGGAGAGGGACGTGACAACGACCTCCCATGATCCACACCCTCCCAGTCTGAGTCCTCATGCAAGCTGGCTCCAGCCTTGGGCAGGAAGTGCTTACAGGGACTCCCCTCTGTCACTTCCCTTTCTCCTTCTCTTGTTTCTCTCTCCTGTCCCCAAACTCCTATGAGAGAGAGAGAAATCTGCAGAGAACTCTGGGCATGCCCCAGCCCTTGGATCACAGGCTGGTCCTGTTCTTGTTTAGCTGAAGGACACATGCATTCATCCGGGAGAGAGGGGATGAGGGCAGTGAGAAAGCATTCCCCACAGGGACGGCCATGCTGCCTTCTCCTCCCTCTCTCCCTCTCTTCAGGATTTTGGTCACACGTGCACATGTGCCCGGTGTGTTTTTCAAACCGCCAGCTCAGGCATTTGCCCTGCACAGTCGGCTGTGTGGGATCCGGCTGCCTTAACCACCAGGCCAGGGAGCCTGCCTGGGACTGTCCGTTCTATCAGCAGGTGGTGACTCTGCCTGGTCTGCTCTGTCCCCCGCTGTGCAGGCCCAGGCTTCACCGGGTCTGTGTGGCTGACCAGGGCCTTCCTTAAACCCCACTGTTTTTCCAGTACGAAAATCCAAAGCTGCTGATGAGAAGAGACGCTCCCTGGCCAAGCAAGCCCGGGAAGACTACAAGAGGTTGTCGCTGGCCGCCCAGAGAGGAAGAAGTGGTGAGGGGCTGCAGAGCCTCCCAGCTGTTCCACAGAAACCCAAAAGACCTCCCCTCCCACCCAAGCCTCAGTTCCTAAACCCAGCGGGTAGCCCTCCAAAACCTCTTAGGTAAGAAGCCACCCTGATGGTTTTAGGCATGCGTGCTAAAATGGGGTTTCATAATGGATGCTCGACAGCGGTAAGACGTCACCTCTGTGAGGCTGACCACATGGCAAGGGCCTGGTTCCTGCCTGGACACCTCCCTGAGTTCACTGGGCACATGCGTGCACGTGATCAGGAGCTGGCTGGGCGTGGGCTATTTCTGTGTGTCCATCTCTCTCCTAAAGGAATAATAAAATGGAGCAGTGCTATGGAGGCCCAGCAGGCTGCCTGTGCAATTCAGCCTCACCTCTGACCCCTGTCCTGGTTTGGAGACCTGACGGCACTCACGCCGTCCTCAGCTGTCCAGCACCCCCTGGCTGTCACATTGAGGACACCCAGTGGCGGAAGACGGTGTTCACTGAGTTAGACCATCCTGTGCCTCCCCCAGCAGGAGGCCAGCAGGGAGGAGAAAACAGGAAATAACTGGGGTTTCCTCGAGACCCAAGATTGCTCTTAGCAGGAGAAAATCCAGATGGGAAACAAAAGATTCGCTGCTGTCCACACCATCAGCGGGACCCCATTTTCACTGCTGAGGGTTAAAGGTCTCACTTAATTCTCCTGCGATCCACCGCCAAGCTCACATTGTGAGAATCTGGGACCACTCCTTGAGTGAACTTTTCCTTAGCAGGGATGACTCCTTGGTCTCTGAGGCCAAGGAGGAAGCGGGAAGGACAGTTTGTTTGGGGAAATCGCTAAACAGAGTGCAGCGACACTACAACAGAGACCTCTTGTCCTTTACCTTTGCTAATTATATATTTCCCTGGTTACTGATATTGAATAAATAGCCATTTAAATATCCTAGTAAGAAAACTATTTAAAATCAAATATTGATTCAATAAAGCAGAACTGTCCACAGCTTTGCCTGTTGAAATAAAAACTAAAAATGCTTCTCTGTTAAGAGCATGGAGAAATGAAAAACAAAAGCAAGTAAAATTCTCCCTTGGGGACCAGCAGTTAGTGTAATGGCTATGTCACTGGACTCCCATGTAGTCGACGTGGCTTAAACTCATGCTGGGCGCATGTGCGTGTGTGCCCAAGATCCTGAGAGGAGAATGGAGGAGAAGGGATTGCAGCGTGGCCATCTCCCCTGGGGGTGATTTCTTGCTTTCTGTCTCTCTCTGTGTCTGTATTTCTGGCGAGTGCATGCGCCCTATAGCCAAAACCTCTCCAAAAAAAGTAAAACTCTAATCTGAAAGCTAGTATGAGAATGACGTGTGTGCTGTGTCTCCTTCCCAGGGAAGTCAGACATTATGGGATATTTTCTCCTAAATCTTCTGGAAATATATATATATATATACACACGTACATTCCAAATACACATGTGGGAATGCGTGTGTATATGTGACTATGTGACATATAAGGCACATGTAAGTGATGGCCACATATGTGACCGTAAAAAGCTAGAGACCCGTAAGTTCATGTACAGCAATAGGAAATTTCTGGAGCTCAAACTCTGCCTTCGTTGTTTTCACATTGAACTCCGCTCAGAGTTA